GCCTGCACGGAGCAGGACAGCTCCAGAAGTTTCCCGGCCCAGGATGGTAGCGGGATATACCCGCCCCTGATTTGGCCAAGTCCCGACCTAACACAACCCGCTTAACCTTGGTAGTGGCCGGAGGGCCTAAACACTACACTGCCGCCACAAGTGGTGGCATCATTCGCCACAGCCAGAGTCGTTCCCTATGCTTAACAACTCAGGTTGTGAGAAAACAGAGGGTTTATTTTGACGGGATTCATCAAGGAGGACTGGGTTATGAGGTATGGGGAGAGAGGCAGCAAAGCAGCCCAGACTGCCTACCCCAAGCACAAACAGCCAGCAGAATGGCTGCTCCAGCACCAGGTTGCCAAGCGAACTCTGTGCGCTCAGGTTTTCAAGTTTTAAGTAAGTTTCTCCCTTGGAATCAACACTTACTTGTTAAGGAAACACATTTCCACTGCACATCTGCAAAGAAGCACCGTGAAGGCTGGGGTGAAGACAATGACACACTAGAGTGAGACAGGCATTGTTCAGTGCAGAACTCCTTCCCAAATCACTCGTCCAAGATAGCAGTTTTTTTCCACAAGAAAATAAAAGGAATTTAACACATAATAGAGTGAAAACCAGAACCTGATGGGGGAGGGGTACATGTGTGAAAATCGTGTCACCGCAATGAATGTCAGATAAAAAGGGGTCTGTCACAAATCCTCCACTAATCCAATAATGCAAAAACCTCTTGGTATCACTGAGACATAGCACAAGGTATTTTTTGTTATTATTTTTCATAAACCACTCTATTTGTTTAACCTTAGAAAGACAGGAGTTTGGCTAATTTTCCCATCACAAAAACAGGACTTTGATTTTTGTCATTAAAGACAAACTCATTTTCACATGGCAAATTTACTATGCATTCCTCAGCCAGTATTTTTACCCTGAAGAAGGAACTCTTCTACCTCAATTTCCTCCAGTTGTCAGTTGTGTGACAACCATATTTAGAGGTAATCACAGGTCAGATTACAAAAATTAGTCAACTGGTTTGAAACCTTAGCCCTAAACTTAATGGTATGTTCTATGCATTTCTACAGAAAAGTGACTTTAATCCAACCTGCAAGGCACCTCAGAGCTTTTTCTCTGCATATGCTCTTTCAAAATATGATGTACAAATGAGAGATTGCTCTTTTTAAGGACTATTTGTTATGGCTTATCTGCTTGAAATACGTATGCATCATGCCACGAACTAATTTAGGATCAACAAGATTCTCATCTGGCAGGGCCACCATGTGTGTCGTATCTATGTTGGCCAGTCTGACAGGCAGTTTTACTACTCAAATCTCAATTCTCTAAAGCAAAACTAATCCAGGATCCTTCCTAATGTAAACAGTTTGCTGTGAAAACACTCACATTTAAAAACAAAGCAATGTGTGTTAATAAAATAAATACAATCAGAGTACAAATGTGTAACAGAAGTGGCGTTCCATAAGCACAGCTGTCTCCAAGTCCAAGCTGCAGGCTAGAAATCTTAATTTCAACTGACTCTCTCTTAATAATGGGTTACCTTCCTATAAAGCGTAAAGTCCATCTGCCCCAGGCAGATAAGTTTTGAAGCATTAAAATAGATAAAAATCTAGTATTTTCTTTCTTGCATTGAATATGTGAATTCTAGTGTGCTATAATGCGAGAATTCCAACATATGACCATCATGGCATAATATCTCATAGCTCATCTTGTCATTACTTCACTTGTAATTCTTATGTTAATTATGTTCATAATTACTATAAACAGATGTGGTAGAAATTCATGTGACCTTTTACTGCAGAATGCATTTCTCTTTCCACTTTATTTTAGTAGTATAGTGTTAAACCAGAGGAGAGCATTCCTGACACGCTCTCCATGTGTGTGTATGTATTTAACATGAAACCATTTCTACCTCGTATTTTAGCCCAAGGACCATCTGTATGTCAGTACATTGACACAAAAGCGATGGGAACCAAGAATCCTTTGCTGAAATATACTCCTAAAAGACAGTGCTTACAGTGAACCTTTCTGACTAAGCCTAGCTAACTGACTAAACCACCACTGAAGCCTAGGACTTAAATGGAGTGCCACATTTTTATTCAGCACCTTTGTTAATGCAGCAGTATCTTGGTTTACAACTACAAGTACATGACAGCCATACAGCAATTTATTTTACTCACAGCCCAACTATCACCCTCTGTACACAAAACACATTTACAATAAAATCACTATGGATTTCATTAAGAGAAAGCCTACTCAAATTTCATTTCTTTGGACCTAATCTATAATTAGTGTGGACAGACAGGTGCAAACCCTTCTCCTCTACAGATGGCTACTGGAAATGGTGCAAAATAGCTCCTTCTGTTTAAACAACACAGAGATAACCTGCTCTGCTCTTATCACTTACAATTACCTCCATTATACTGAACTAATGTTTACTTTTATAAAATGTCCACTGTTCTCTAAACATTATTTGGTAACTTTCATATTGATGGCAGGAAAAAGAAAAGATGGAAGTCAAATGTCTTTCAGATGAAAATACTTTGGGAGGGGAAAAAAAAAAAAAAGCCTTTTAAAGGGCAGGATATTTTGACTTTGATTTTACATCTGCTGATGATTTTTCTTTATCCACAAAACCACACAGTATACTACTTCCTGATGTATTTATGCTACCATGTATCAAACTAATCAAGTTTATAGTAAGTAAGAACAGAACAACTGCGATTTTAAAGCAATTCTGTAAAAAGGAACTTCCATGTGGAAAACCAAGACCCTTTACATGAAAAGTTCAGGTTTTAAACTAACTTTTAGCTCTTCCATGTGAAAGAAGGTGAAAATGTAATCTGGATGCCAGTGTTTTAAGAATTTATGCTCGCTACTTACACTAGATTCAATATCAGTTCAAACTCTTATAAATGTTATAGGCTCCTAGTAAAGGCTGTATGAAAAAGAGAGGCTTCTACTAACTACATGAATCAAAAGTTTTTTTAATGTATTCCAAATAAAAAATAATTTCTTTTTTAAGTTTCTTTAGCCAAGCCATGAGGAATAACCCCTTCACAGCACCACATTCATGTTTTATTTCAGCTGATAAGGCTTCTTGATCTCTGCGTGACAAGTTGAAGTTTCTACAGAACAAAGAACAAGATCTCCCTCCCCATCTAAAAAAATCTCAAGCGCCTGCAATAGCAACATACAAGTATCTTTATTCAACTAGCTAAAGATTTAACAGTAATGGAGTGTAGCAAGTGGATTTTAAAGATGAAAATGACAATCGCAAGCCCTTTCTCCCATCACCCCCAATGCAAATACTGCAGATGCCTACTTCACCCCAAGTGTCTGGCAAGGAGGAGTCTGCAGTCTGCGCAGTACCCCAGTTAAGTGAGCTCCACATTCAACGCCTGTCATCTGAAGTTCATTTCTGAGAAGTGAGAAACAGGATTTGACGGGGAAGAATGTTCCAAACTGACTAGCCACTGACCAGCACTCCAGGTGGAGCTATTTTTCACCCCTTTATTCTATAAACAATACTTCCAGTACAAAACTCCATGTGCACGCAGGCATACATAGTGTTAAGCGCATACAGATGAGAGACGCCGTGTGATGTTTTACTGATCCATTATTTAGACACGAAATGAGTGGTGGTCAAAACTGGTAGAAGGCAATGTTTTACTTAAAAAGATTTTGGAAACTATTTAAAAGCTCAAAGCCTTTGAAGAAAAATAACTTGTGCAGCAGTTGCCAGGAAGCAGTGACCTAACACTGCTGTCTGCATTCCATTACAAACAGAATGGTTCTTGTCTCCTACAGCCATTCACCCTCCTGCAAACACAGGGCCAAGGGAAGAAGCCATGCCATCACCTCCCGTACCCCTTGCCTGGCTTCAGCTTTATAGAGACATAAATGGATTTAAGGGTGGGTTGGGTTTTGGGTGGGATTTGGGGTTTCTTGCCCTGATGTGTGGTTGAGCTTCCCATGACAGTGAAGAAAAATGACTCATGAAGTGAAAGGTTCACATCCGATAAAACTGACCTTAGAAAAGTTATCATCAAATTAAGTATAACTTGTAATTAAAAACCTTCACAGTGTGCTTGCAGTGCATCTCACACCTAACGAAGCCTTTGCCAACTTTGTCTTTTCAAAGACTACACAGTAATGAATAAGCCATACTCAGATCTTTCCCTAGTATTTTTTCTGTCGATAGGGAGCCACCAAAACACCTAGTGCTAAACCCAGAAGGTATAAACAAGATAGACTAACTTTTTAGCATTCAGCCAAACTGAAGGAAATTCCCTGATCGTATTGGATTTCCTAAGGAAATCAGCCCAGAATAAACTGAATGAGGTTTTCAGACTTCCCATGGAAAGGAAAGGTCAAGCATTAGCTTTGACAACCATTAGGAACCAGTTTCAGTTCTCTCATCGTGCCAGATTCACTAAACCGTTAACAGAAAAGCAGAACAAAAAACCTGGACAATAGAATTCAAATCTAAAAATATCTTTCATGTCTTGCTTCAAACTACAGTTAACAAAGTTGCTTATTTAAACTTTCCATTGCATCTGTCAAGATTCAGAAATGAAGACGGAAGTGTAAGGCTACAAGGGTATAATTAAATAAATTATATTCACCCTTAGCCTTAACATACTGTGTTTACAAATACAATAATTATGTTTCTAGCTACACGTCAAAAGAAAATATTTTCTAAGTCCCTCAAAAAGCATGCAAGCATTACAGTAAGAAATAAGTCAAAACAGATTAGTAGACCAAAACTGGGGAGGGGAAGGAAAGGAAAAAAAAAAAATTAAAAAAAAGGAAAAGATTCTGCTTTGGTCAGCAAGCCAGACCACCATCAGGGGATAAATCAATTTGCAGCAGCTGTGGACAGCCATTTAAGTCTGGGGCCTGAACAGATTAATTAGAGGAAGCGATGTTAAAAGTTAAAGGGGTCAGCGTTACATTAAGCACACGAATATTTGCTGGAGCGAGCTCTTGGCTGTACATACCAGGACTCAGAAGGCATCCTTTTAGTTAGTCAGGGCTGTGCCTATGGCCAAACGTTTGGCACTTGCTATGTTTCCAGGCACAGCACGGCAGCTCCCGCAGGCTGCTTTTGGGAGGTCTGTACCTATCCTTGGCCAGCCCCTGCTATGCCTTGCCGTGCCATGCCTGCTGCACTGCGTGCGTCCTGTCCCGCCGGCCAAGGCAGGAGTGCGGCGGCAGTGTACCCGGGGCAAGCGCTTCGGGCACGGGCGGGCAGGAGCTCCAGCCCCGCCGCCGCTGCCACTGACCGCTCCAGCCTCTCAGGAAGCATTTGTCTCCGCGGGTTTAGCGATCGCAGCCCGCATCCGAGCAACCGGCAGGCAGGAGCTGCCGGCTCCAAGGCGGCACGACCAAGAGGCGGCTGTGGGAGGCACCAGATCTTTTCCCAGCCGTGATCTGGGGCAAGGCAGAGGTAGCAGGGAGTAACTGGCAGAGCCTGCTGAGGTTCTGAACATCGAAGGCTGCTCCACCGCAGAAACCCGAGCGGCTTCGAGGCTGCCGTTTCCCCCAGCAGCGCCTGGGCAAGGCGGTCCCACCGCGCCAGGCTCGGGGCTCCAGGGTGCAGCCAAGGACCAGCGGGTCGGCGCCTCTTACCTTCGCCCGCCCTCCCTCCCGCATTTGAACAACTCACTGCACTGAGGGAAGAAACATTTTAGTTCTTGCTTGAAGCAAGAGCGATCCAAGACCCGAGTCCGATTACTTTCAGTTTCTCTCTAACGTTTAGGAGAACAGAGCACTGTAACAACACAGACATTTCCCTATAAATTAACGTGGAATGGAGTCGCGGGTGCTCCTGCCAGGGTGGCAGGACCTTCCCTACTCTAAACCCAGCTGTAGCCCAGTCTCGCAACTTTGGTACTAACAAAAGGATTCGAGCTAGCCAAAAGTCAAAGGCTTGTCTACATGGCCGGGAGTATGGTTTTCATCCCTCCTGTCTCCCTTACCGATGGTCTGTTAGAAATTTATGGAAACAAACCATTCAGGTCCGCTAGACGAGATGGCACAATTAAGCTGTATTGCAGTTTGGGAAATGCAGTCCCTAAAGCTGCCCTGTCTCTTCAGGATAGGACATACTTGCGAGATCGCGGAGCAGCCAAAGACGGTGTGCACCGCCAGAAATATTTCTTGCGAAATAGCCTGGAGTGATGTTGCCAGTGCTACATAAACCGATGATTGTAATGTAACAAACAAAACAAACTAAAAAAATCCCACCAGAAATATTTCAGGCACTCTGGCTCACATTGCCCAGCGCTGCTATCTGGAGAGAGGGTAAGCAGGGATTAAAAAAAAAAATAAGGGCAAGTCCTAAATCGAGACAGAACCCCAGCGCCATGAAAGAATACTTGGAGGGCTGGGACGGTTATTTTTTGCAAAGCTTGCTTGGTTTCTGGGCTCCTGGGAAATATTCGGAATTCGCGAGACGGGGACATCGGGTGCAAGAGCTACAAGCAGAGCTAACCTCTCCCGGGTACAGCGGCAGCCCCGGCCCTCCGAGGTTAGTGACAGCCACAGAAGCCCCCTGGAGCCAGGGGAGCCTGGGGGAGAAGGGGGAGAAGAGAAGGGCCCGGTACCCCCCGCCCGGCCCGCGCCCCGTACTCACACTGCAAGGGACCAGAGATGCCCACCATTCGCCACGGGCTGCGAGCTGCAAATAAAAGTTCCCGTCCTGCTCGGGGGAAAGCCGGCAGCCCAGGCTGCTGGAGGGGCGAAGGGGTGGGAGAGGGGAGAGCAGCGCGGCGCGGCTTCCCTTCCCAGTCCAGATGATCCACGTCCACAAAAGTCAAAACGAGCTGAGGAGAAACTCCAGCTGCTCTTCCCCCCCTCCCCTCTCTCTCTCGCCTTCTTTTTTTTCTCTTAAAGGAAGATCAGCTAGAGAGAGATTGCTGGTTCCGCGGGAAAGGACAAGAACCAAAAATAAAACAAAGTCTCCAAGTCGAGATAGTTAATGCCCAGGTCCTTCTCCTTGCTGCTGCTGCTGCCACCGCAGACAAACGTGATGTGGAGCGCAGGGAGCGGCCGCTGTCAGTGGCGGGGTCTCTGCGTGTCCCCGGGCAGCCGACGCATCGCTCTGCCCCCAGCGGAGCCGATCCGTGCAGTGCCGAGCCGCCCGCCCAAGGCTGCGCTGCTCCGCGCTCCAGTCCGCGCCGCGCCGCTCCGCCCGGCTCCCCGCTAGCAGGCACCTCGAGAGGCAGGCAACATACTGCCGGCAGCCAGCCCAGCCCCGCTACCCAGGTGCAGGGGGGGAGGGCTTAAAGCAGTGGGAGGTGATAGAGGTAGGAGACATCTGTGTCGTGAGGAGGTTAGTGGGGGTCAAGTATATGTTAACAATAGGCGAGCGCAGTCCCTCTCGGGCAGCCTGCCTACTCTTTCTTTCTTTCTTTCGTTTGCTTTTACTGGGTGGACATCTAACTTGCTCCCTAATGATGCCTCCCCTGCTTTAAGAGTCCAGACTGCCCTGCAGTAACCCAAGACAAACACTTTCTCTAGCCATCTGGAGAGCTCCTGGCTGCTCTGCCTGTGTCTCATCACTGTGTGAAGAGACAGCAGTGCTAGAAATCAAGCCACTCTCAGATCTACTCTCTAATCCCCTTCTGTTAGCTGATTTCCAGTCAGACTGTTTGCTTTTGCATTAGATAATAGCCTTAGAGAAAACAATTATCATTTTCTTTTTCCCCTTTGTTTTTCCCTTTTTCCAAAGTACAGTATCGAGGAAGGCCTCCCTCTCTCATTTTTAAAAAGAAATTTATAGTCATTCATGGCTTGCAGAACCCAGATGCAATTTCACACTTTCCTGGAAAGGGGATTCTGGATTCTTCTGAAAGCAGAGACATGATTGCAACTGCAGTGAAAATTAATTACTATCATCTACAATTAATAGAAGCATGCCAGTGTTTGACTTTGTGTTTCGTTACATAATCATTTCGGTAGGCATCCATATATTTTCCGATTCATCAGTCATTCCCTTCTGCATTTTGCAGAGAACATTGTTGTCAGTCACACAACCTACAGCAACCCGGTACTTCTGCGATCACATTGATGCTGTATAAAGAAGGCGTCTCCATACACACACACAAAAAAAAACCCTCCAAACCACATCAACTTCATATATTGAGTAAAAAAAAAAGAAAGAAATGTGGGGTATTTTTTTCAGGTTGCAGATAATGGTTTGGATATGTCAGAACTGCCTGGACATTTAGCTTCATTTGTTTCAAATGTCAGGTGTTAAGTAAAAGAGTGAGCATGGAGCAGAACTTCTAATCAAGCTGCATTCTTTATTCCTGTAGGTACACGTGCACACGCGCGCGCACACACACACACATACACTATAGGCCTGATCTTGCAAATTTACAAATGCCTAATCTAAAGCAGAAATAGACCTATTGAATTCAAAGTAGCTTTCCCTGTGTTTATCATAAGCACATACACATTCCCAGAATAGGGGAGAAGCATTTATGTATATATTTATATGCATATTTATAGCAATATTTATCTGCCACTATGGCTGGCTTTGAAGAGTTGGTTGATTTTGGAAATATGTTTAAAATGTGTTTTACAAGCTGGGTAAAATCTACATTTTTTGCAGATATTTAAGTACACGGGGCTTTAATGAACTGATTGGCATATAGTAATACAGGGTCAAATTCGCCTTGAAGTGAATTCAGCTCAGCAGAGCATACATCAGGACATGTTTTGGTCTACTGTGACTTCAGTTTGCAAAAAATGGTGAGAAGCCACAAGTCTGGCATCAATTTCTAATTTAAAAACTATCTTATCTGCTTTGAGAGGTCTATTTCAAGGCCAGAAATTTTGGGAGAACCTTTAAAAAAGTATTTTCAAATATTTTAAAATCATGTAAAAATAGCAAAAAGTTTAAGGCTTCCTTTGTGTATGGCAGATCTAGAAACTTAGTTGAGCCTGAAAATCTTTGTGGCGTGATACTTTTATCCCAATTGTTGTATATGTAAGCTGTAAAAATAAATGAGAGATTTGCCAGTGGTCCTGGAGCAAGTTTTGCTGAAGTGTCAGTGAGCACCAAGTCTTAATTCTCAATTTACAACTTTAAAAAAACCCCGTAGTGCTTCCTCTTCGGCATGTAGCTTCACTCTAAAAGATCAATCGACTTTCTAAGTATTATCTGCCAAAATAGCGAAGTAATATCAGCCTGCATTTAGAAACTCTAGTCTGAGCTATTAGCAATTTAATATCCACCTACAAATTGATTAAAGTTTGCAGACTATTGTCTTCTCTTTCCATAATGAGAAAAACACAGAAATCCTCTATTAACCCCCCAGACCTAGCTCATATTGCACAGTATTTCCCACTGCTCCCAGTATGGACAAAGCCTACCTAGAAAACAAAGTGTAGTAGAGAGCAGTAAATACTGACTACTTCATGGCAGCTATACTCTTCTCAGACATGCTGGGAGAATAAATTGACACATTCCTAAATAATAAAAGATTGTAACCATCAAGTATTATCATTATATTGCAAAGCTGATGATTGACGCCTGGCTTCTTGCAAACTTCCCTTATCCATACATTTTTCTTTTCTCTATTTACTTCCTGGAGAAAGCAGATATGTTTTAGTGAGAAAGGAAAAATAAACATGTTCTTTGAAAGATGAATTCATGTTGAAGGAAGGAAAAAAATGCAGCCTCACAGTAGACCTCACAAATACTTGGTAACTTTACACCCTACAGATTTTTTCTGCAGACTTGTAGATGCCATGTCTGATTTGACATATGAAGGATTTACACTGTGTATCACTGTGTGACATTGTGTGAGAGAAAGGCTGGTAGAAGCATAGTTGCACATGGAAGTTAGAAATATCCTGCTAGGCTGTCCAAATCTGACTATATTTTGACTGTACAGAGACCGATCAAATGTTCAGAGCTGAAACATGGCTTACTTTTTACTGTGAATAATTATATTATGGGCAGTCATCTGCACTGAAATTCTTGGAAGAGAACTTACATATCAACTCACCTCACTGCTGTTTAAAAATAGAGACAAGTATGTCCCTCCTAATTGCCACTGCCTTGCAGCTCGGAGTGTTATACATTGTCACATGTTCCTATCCAGAGCTCAATCTCCTCAAACACTTTTCCACTCACTCTTTTTTTTTCAGCAATGTTTCTTGATTAAAGCCAAAAGGCTTGGTTTCACCTTCCGTGAAGCATACAAGAACCTCACTATTCGCTTCTGTGAGAGCTGGACTGGGCCTTGGCAGTTGGACCAGGGCTGTGTGTAGTTGCTAGAGTACTCATTTGACAAGTGCTCATTTGGATGGAAAGCACCCTAGATGTTCATATAAACCAAAAACAGTCAGATAGAATGCTAAGCTGGATCCTGGATAGTTTTAACTTAACCTAAACCTTTCACCTAACCATGTTTTTCCAATTTTCCCCCTAATTTACAAGTATGTTTTACATTTTAGTAATGTTCATTGTCATTTCAGTCTGTTGGTGCACCTTTTATAGGTTGTACAGTCCAGGGGACAGCAGTAGGATGGAGGCTGCTGGGGCATTCACACTGATGTTGCATATGCTTTCTTCAGAAAATCGTGCCCAGTTTAGCTGGAGTACATCCTGCCTTGAGCCCTGAACAGAAAAGCAGCAAAGACATTACAATTCCTGTGTTGCAGAACTGCTATCCCCCGCCTGGGGACTTGGTGAGAGGGCTGGGGAGGTGACCAGTGGTTTTGTTGCTGGCTGCCGTTTGCAGCTTCACGTAAGGGGGAAACATGCACCAGGACTAGCACTTGATAACGGGAATGGAAAATGTGCAGCAGCAGGATAGATCCCCACCCTTTAGTATGCAAAGCATGTCCACTAGGTGATGTACATGCTGCAAGAGCTGACATATTACCTGCCTTTCTCTCTATTCATACTATTGTTTACCCTTTGCTTTTGGTAGGGAGGAAAGCACATTAAGTTCCTTCTAAATTAAAAAAAGAGAGGCTATCTTTTTGCAGGAGTATAAGCTCCACTGATGCACATTTTGACATCTTCTCCTTGTCTAACATGATAGATTTTATTTGGGATGTTCCTTAATTAAATTATATGCTAAGGACATTCTTTGCATTCTTGTTTGCCTTTTGGCATTGTCAGGACTCCTAAAACCCCTTTAATGTTGCAGCATTCTGAAGCACTTTGCAGAAGAATATATGCACAGTGACAGAAAAAGGGGAGCTGGGTTATTCTGGAAAAGATCACATAAACGAAATTTATATATTGGCAGTCATTTGCAGGAATGCCATCTTTGTCACTCATTTTCAGTGAAATAAGGCTTCTTATTAAAAAACAAATCTTTTCAAGAGAAAAGATTCTACTGCTTATACAAAGCAATACCAAACAAAAAGATGGAGAAAAAATGTTTTGAAAAGTTTCTCTTTCATAGAAGCAAAAAGCTTATTTTGTCTTAATCCATTGTCTGTGTTAATTTATGCAAATGAGTGTATTGAATATTTAATTAATATTTAATATTAAATTTATTTTAAAACAGAAAATATTTCCTTTTAGTGCTGACATTTTTATC